TCCCCCCTCCTCATTCAACAACACACAAGAGAAGAGCTACACCTTTTGAGAATAAGTAGAGCATCACTCCAATGGGCTTAGGCCCTAGCTAGCTATCTAGAGCAAGTAGTTGGAGAGATGTGAGGGGAAGATCGAGGAAGTGTCGGACTTGTCGGTGTCTCCCCAAACTTGTACCTCGACGAACACTTACTCTTATTCCTCGACGAAATATTTCGCTAAGTATTCGTGGTTCTTACGGTATAGTCTTTTGAATAGTTAAGCTTTACTCTTACTTGTTTGCGGGTTCGTCGTTTGTCCCCATGGCGGATACTCTAGTTGAGGGCTCCCGATAAAGACGGATCACCCTATACAATGCTATAGTAGTCGATAGCGTTGACGTGGTGTCTAGGCTAGAGGCTACCTTTGTTTACCTCGTATCCTCCGGTTGAGGGGTAGGCGGTAGGTGGTGACAGCCCTGTCCGTCCTTCGTAATCCCCCACGTTCGGATACGGCGTAGAGCTGTAGACCGACATCGACTGGCAGACCAGTTGTAATCCGGTGCCCGAAGTAAACAAGTAATAGTAGGGTTTATCTATCCTTAGACTCTACCATAGAAATCCTCTCTACCTTCTACCAACTCTACCCTTGTGTTGTCCTTGGACGAACTAGCTAGAAGATTTACCTCCGTTCCCTGTGGAAAATACGATACCCTGAATACTTCCAGGTGAAATACTACAACGGTAATTCCGTGCGCTTGCGGATTATTTCTGTATGCGTTAAGAAATACCAACAATACCCTAGTAGGAATTGTGTAGGGCCAACTCGGCAAGGACAAGAATGGACCTAGGATACTTCATATTACTTGGCGGATAAGGATAGGTAGGTATAGATACAAACTGGCTTATCTAGGATTTTGTGTAATATGATGGGGCAGGACTCTTTCTAATCGACTAGAAAACCAACTTATAATCGATCAGGTTGGGATTCTATTTGTAACCTTGCCTCCTAAACTACATAAGGAGAGGCAGGGAGCCCCAGATCACTACCTCAGATCAAGGCTGCTAATTCAATTACTACCTTGTTTCGCTTTAGTTTTTATTTTTCATATTTTCTATCCCCTCTAGAAACTAACTATAGATACTCTATCTGTCTTGAACTACATGGTACCTAAGCATTCAAAATTTATCCCTAATTATAAGAAAATTTAGGTGAAGTAACCCGAAACTCAATTTAAAATGCAGTATTAACATTCTTACATGCGTCATTTGTTATATCTCATAATATATCATAGAATTTCTAGGACTAGTATAGTGCCCGTGCTAACACCATGGCTTTATTTTAAGGATGCACATTGAAACAACCAAACTACGGTGGTACTTCGTCACATAAATAGAGTACAACAAGACAATTAAGAGAGATTCCAATTCATTGCATCATTCTCAGTATATTATAGAAACTTGTCCTGTACATACACCATTTAGAGAATGTGTATTATACAGCTAAATTTAACAAAAAAACATCAGAAACATTTAGCCAGGTATAAAACATAAATTCTCAATTCTTGCAACCGCTACCGATCTGCCAATGTTGTCTTCTTACTTCAGGTGATGTCCAGACATCCCAAACATTCGACTGACCTTTTGGACCTGCAATGGCTACTCTATCAGCACTATAGATTAGTGAAAACAGAATGAAGTTGAATTAAGAACGACAAGCTTGGAAGCTTAGACAAAAAGAAGGCGTCTACATTTAAGGGGACCTTATTCTTTGAACACACCAATAATTATATCAACATAGGTTGCGTAAGTCTCAGTCTACTGAGTAAGAACAAAAGTTAAGGCAGTGTGATTACTACAATGGTGGTCAAAGATCCTCGTTAAATTTAGAGTTTGCAAATGTAAGTATATCCAGTCATGGCAAGACGAATAGATCATCAATTAAACATGTTCAACAGTAAAACACTAATGTAGGTATGGAGTCAGTTCCAAGCATCAAAATTGAAGCCGAGTCAAAACAATAACTATTCATGGAGTAAAACAGTAAAACCCTTATCAGTTACAAATTAAGAACGATGGAATGCAGAATAAAAGGAATATATTCTTGCAAAAAGAAAAAACAGGCTGTCGGCTATCATGTCATAGTGAATCACATTCACGGAGTCCATGTTAGTTCATGTTAACCTCATTGAAACCAGAAATAAGAGAGCAGAGAAAATATAAACTATCAAGTGACATATTGTACATTATGGGTTCTATTTCAATATCAGTCCTTTATATGCATGAAAAGCTCAAGCTTCCACAACAAATTTGTATTATAGAAACTGAGTCCTAAGTACTAAAGAAAGACCAGTTACTCTCAATCCAATCCCATGTTTATTTACTCACTGATGTCCGATAAAGCTCCATGCACCTGACCTCCATCCCGCTCTGCGCATCTCCGGCAAGCACACATGCCTGCTGTATTTCCTGTTGCCTGCTATATTTCCATGCTGCTGGTTCCCCATTGGAGCCGCTCCATCTTGAATGAGTGAACAAATTAGTCATATCGAGGAAGCACAACAAACATCATCGACCTAAAAAAAGAATGAAAGCATGAATCAGTTCTTTAGCAAAAAACACAACCACAAGATGCAAGCAACCACAGGCAACCTCTACTGTAAAAAAATCACAACAATAGAGAGAAGATTTCAAATTTGAGCCAATTATCATACAGAGTACAGGACCATTCTGCTTGTTGCATATTAGAGAAGGGAATGGACAGGGTCTATTTACCTGTAGACCATTGCACACACTGGTTGCAGTACCCTAATTATTAGATAACCATGTACCCTTTTCACACCAATTAAAACATTTTCAATAATGATTCTCTTTCTGTATAGCAAACCATCTTTAAATGATTCTTAAATTATCCTAAATTATTCCTTATGCACACATAAAATTATTCTCATCTATTAAGCGCTCTTTTTGTTTTGCAACTCCAGCAACTCCAAGGCACTAAACTGGTAGGCGCTAAGCTATATGGATTACAAGAGTCAAAATACATGTAAAAAAATGGATCATCTGAGCCATTTCAACAAACACGTTGTGTGCAAGTGGGTCATACGGACCATCCCATCCACCAAACTGGCAGGCGCAAGGTGACCACGGCCTAGCATCCCAAAACAGAAGGAAAAAACCGTCGCAGCAAGGAGATATATCACACATACATCAAAATATCTAGCATCTAGATCTGGTGGAAGGTGAAGTCATGGAGATAAAGAGGCTAACCATGGGGGAGGAGGCAGATCAATGGAGTCCCGTGTCGCTCACAGGTCTGCAGTGCTTCCTACACAGCTTCATCTGTAAATAGGAACTCCCTGCAGTGCTCTCAACTCATGGTAGCATATAAAGAAAACTCAGGAAAAACATAACCAATATTAAATTACTGAAGTCAACACCCACTATTTTAGTTAGTAAAGAAAACAAGCCTGCAGCAAGTAAATTTAACTTCCAACGAACCATAATAATTCAATTGCCAATGGCCAAAAGCAGGGGGACCAACGTGATTAAAACATGTTCACCAGTCACCACTGCTACCGCCGATGCACTTTTTTTTTTAAAAAAATAGACTTCAATTAATAGGCGTGATTAAAAAAAATGGTAAACAATCATTCTGATTCATTGTTCAAGGGAATCGAACAAAGGACATGTGCTAGAATATATTTTTTCTAATGCTACATTCTATTCCTGACATATTAACATATACAATAAAAAAGAGTGGTAATGTCATGCATAAGTGTACATATACACAGAAAGGGAGAAGTGTGGACTACATGACAACAGAAGTTATATTTATATACCTCAGAAGTCATGTACAGGCTTCGTTTCCATCTACTGGTACATGAACTTGATATGCTCCAAACCCTTGTGTTAACCACCAGCTTCAAATGGCAACACCTGTAAGGAGCTTGGGTTAGATCATAATCGCTAGAGAACGGAAATTCAATAATTGCTAGAGAACGGGAATTTTATTCAAAAGACACAAAAAAAACTTCCATATATCTTGAAAATCAAGTGCTATGATCTTCGATAAATGTAGGGGTCAACAGAAATGTAACATATGATTTCACCACCAAGCCCCAATCAAGCCAAAAAATAAGGCAATGTCAATGTACAAATTACAATCATTAGCTGCTTGACCGGATTCCACATGCCAAGCATCCAACTCAAATTAACACAGCCTCCACCAATGCCAAATTTTCATTATTTTACAAAACATGCTGGGTGGTAAGCTGAGTGCGGAGCTGAGGCACGGCGATGAAGGGAACCCCTAGACTGGTGTTCCACATTACTTACCTGATATTCTGTAACCCTCAGATTGATACATGTCAGATTACTTATCTGGAACTCAGTCCTAGCTGAACCATGTGTCATGATACTTATCTGAACCATGTTTTAGAATTACATACTTTATAAACAGGAAGTAGCAGAAAAATTGCATAATTATGTATTGTTTATAGAAGGAGGAGAAAAATGACCACTTACCTCTGATCTTTATTTTAGCAATATGCCTGTCCTGTAAGCAAAGCCAGAGAGCATATTGTCATTATTGGCATTCTATAAGTAAAAAACATTTTAATTTGTACCACATCTGATAGGTGGATATTATGCATTAAAGAGAATGATGCAAAGATTTGTTTCCTTCCTACCCCAACTCACAACAACGAATTTGTGGTTGTACTATTCCCATTACTGACTTCAAGGTGTGGGGAATCCATCAAAATTCAAACAGGACTGACATGGTGCCTGACAGCTGTTAAGGCGGTGAATAATCGCAATGTTCGTAGAGGAAACAGGAGAATGTTATCACCGTCGTCTGGCTACAGAAGAGAAGCCATGCCTGCGACTGCAAGATGTAGTCCACTGGATCTTATGCCCTAGAACCGGAGCATATCCCAGCAGGAACTTCTTGGGCTGCCCCCGCACGATCTCGCCTTCCTTCCTGCTCATCTGCGACGTGACCTCCTCGTCCCACCCTCCGCCTTAGCAGTCCATGGCCTTCCGCATGAGGCTGGAGTCACTGGAGCACGCCTTGTCGGCGGTCTCGGAGAAGTTGACACCGCCGTAGCACTCCTTGGGCATCCCCCACGACGCGGCGCTCTCGTCCTCGCCGTCCTCCCACTCGTCGGAGTCCGCGGCTGAGAGGAGCAGATGTCGATAACGAAGGTCCGCCCTTGTAGGGGTTATCGCCAGGTCCGGCGATGGTGCCGGTGAGGTAAGACATGTTGGCGCCGGTGGCCGCGGGCCTCGCCGCGCCACCGGCTGTAGGCGGCGCCGCCGGCCACGCACCTGAGCCTCGACGCGCCCCCGGCTGGAGGCTGCTCCGCCGGCCGCGCGCCCCTGCCTGGAGGCCACGAACCTGGCCGCGCCTCCGGCTGGAGGCGGCTCCTCCGCTGGCCGCGCCCTCGGCTGGAGGAGGCTGCTCCGCCGGCCGCGCCCCTGGATGGAATCCGAGCAGACGGTCGCGCCTCCTGCCTCGTCTCCGGCCTCGATCTAGGTTTCAGGCGAGAGGGGGAGAGAGAGAGAGATGCACGGGCGTCGGGGGTGAAGGCCGCCGCAGGCGCGTCGATTGGGGAGAGGATGTGTCGCGGGAGACGCGAGAATTTGGGAGGGCACGTGGGTGGGCGGGCGTGCGTGAGGGGCGCGGAAGCCGGTTGCGAATTTATTTAGGATGAAAGGGGACGAAGTGACGAGTGATGAGGTTTGATCCGAGCAATATGGGCCGTTCGATTTAAGTGAGTAAGAGAAAGGAGAAATCAGAGTGGATCTGGTCCATTCGTTTTAAAGATTGGTTTAAAGATTGGCTAGTTTTGGGGGCTTTTTTTTTGCACTTAGGAGAGTTCATGACTGTGAAGTACATGTTTTTGTATGGCTTTAGGAAAATTTATACCGATGCATTATATATGGTAGAGATAGAGATACCTTGCATTTTAAGATAGAGGGAGTAATAAACTTGTTCCTATGTTTCCATTCTCCGAGTATTCCATCCTAGGGAGTAACAAAGCAAGTAGTATTTTGGATGTAGACATGTGGTCTTATTTGTTGAGTGGGACATCTTCAGAGTGAATGAAGATACTATATTTAAAAGCTTTCATGTTCTTTATAAAGCCTAGGTGAGACAAGTAATATTGTAAGCTACTTTTATGCATATTGTAAACTATTAGAATGATGTTTGAACTACATATCTATTGTGGATTTGTGCAAGTCAAACATTTAATTTTGCATTTAGAACTAATTATGTTATTTAGTAATTGTACACCAAATTTAAGAGTAAATTTTATAATCATTTACGGAATTGCTATATGGATTTTATCGAATTATATGTGAAATTTTGATGTAGTATATCCTTTAATTAAGTACTAGATCTGCCACTTAGCGTGAGAAGCATGCATATAATTGGATTTTTCTCCTCGGTTTTTAGTCTGATCGCAGCTAACAGATAGTATTGGCTTATTGCAATCATACCAGTCGTAGGGTTTATGTGTCGCCCGTTGAACAACCCTTGACGACCTGGAGGGACGTGCTACAGAAGTACAGTCACCACAAATAATATAATCGAGATATAGAAGACGAACATCCTACAATATGTTTATGTATTCTTGCGTTGATGCAAATGAACATGTAGATACACGAAACGCTGAAAAGGAGACCAATGATATGCCCAGCGGCTATATAGCCTATAGGAACGACCTAAACTGCTGAGAAAAAAAGATGCAAAGTTAGTATAGTCTCCTTCAACTAAAAAGAACAAAACTAAGATAACTTTTTAGTGCGATATTTGTTTGGGGTCGCCTCCGTGGAAACTTGCGATCCCACGCTCCGTGCCTCCGTAGGCCGCCAGGTGGGACCTGCAACCACGGCAACGAGAACCAAATCACCGGAAATCATGGCTTCGTCGGTCCTCTTCACCCCCGCAATCTCCGTCAGTCTACCTCCCCCCTGCACTCAAGCGGTGGATTTGGCCTTCCTTCCTGATCCCTCAGCCCCATCACCATCCCGACTTGCCTGCGACCGCCGCCACCATCCCGCGTCCTCGCACACGATGTCGCGCGCCACCCACCATCGGCACCGCTAGCACCGACCTCGCCCTCGCCCTCGCCCTGCAGTCCGCGGAACAGATCGATGATCATCGCCATCTCTACTAGTCCGCCGAGAAGGAGAAGAACCCGCACCTGCCGCCGCCGAGGGAGAGACGGCGAGTATCTCATCCTCGCCCGACGCACGCCCTCCTCTTCACGGCCGCTGGCGAGAGGCCGTCGCAACTTGCCGTGGAGGGAGAGGCGAGGTCCCAGCCGGCGGATCGACGGCGGCTCCCTTGCCCCAACCCCGGCGGCCCCACAGCCCCAGCCCCAGCGCCCCCGCTGCTCCCAGCTCGACCGCTCCATCGCCGCCAGAGACCACTCTGCTCCTGCATCAGCACCTCACCACGTCGAACGCCGCCGGAGATCCCGTCGCGCCACGACTGCCCCCGCCCGGGGCAACAGGACGACGTCAAAGCACCACGACTGCCCCAGCCTTCGACCGCTGACTACCCCTCGCCATCGTGCTCCGTGGCTACCCACGTCGCACCTTGCCGGTAAGTCACCTGGCAGAACGTCTACCCAATTCCGATCTACTAAAAAAATGGAGTAACCCCATCTGAAAAAATCTGTTGGTTGCTCGAATTCTGTTTGAGTTCTTTGGTTGTGTGCAGAGTAGATCTATTTGGTTTTAGCCTTTTGGTCTTTAAACATTGGTTTTGGCTAAGAAAATGAAGAGCTAAGGAAAATCGAAATCATGCTGCTTGGAGAATGTTAGTACAGCCAAAATAAATTTTGTAGAAAATGGATTTTGATTTCCAGTAAATCGACTAAGCAATTGTGATATAAAAAAAGGTTTAATTGGGCATGCTTTCACTTCAAATCATTTGGATCAACCGTATCAAGGTTTCTGTAGTCTCAGAATAATTTAAATTTATGTCGATGGTTAGGTTAATCTCAGTATTTGTGCTAAAGTAACCGTTCTTTCCTGGATTTCATTATCTTATCAGTAAATAGGAGTACACCTTGAGTACCTGCACAGTTGACCTGATATATTTCAAGCTTCAGAATGATGGGTTAATGCATTTATTTTAAGAACATATAGATCTGAGAATGCTTGATCACAGGAAAGGCTTGCAGATCCTTCCTCAGAGAGGCAACCATGATTTCGGTTATTGAGTGCTTGACATATATTGTGGTTTGGAAGATATGAGATAATTGATGCCTTGAAATGTTCCTTTGATTTAGTTATTTTTATCTCTTTAACTTATTTAGGTGTTTATTCAGTCTATTTTATAGCCATATTGGTATATAATTGATAACAAAATTTAAGCTTCCACAACTTTTGCTATTGCACTATCCTCACCAGCTTGAATCCGTGCTGAACAGCACCACCATCTTCCCTGCAGTAGCAATCGTGATCTATCGCCTGTTCAGGTAACTTGCTTGCTCACCTCCTGTTTGACAATATACCAATGTGTGTCCTGTGCTTGTGTTTTAGACAAAGGCAGACATTAGGTTGCTTTGAAAAAAATAGTTCAATTAGTTTATGAGGAATGACAACAATGCAACTAGATAGACCTATTGGAACAGGTAAAACATAGTGGCATAGCACTAGACTTAGCCTCAGATGCAAAAAACTATGCCTATTTTTTTGTCGGGCTCATGGACGAGATCCCCACCTTCGTTGTCGACCCACTTGCTGGCAAGGATCATGTACGGCCGTTCGCAATTGTAAACAACAACAACACCTCTTTCTATCTCTAGGTTTTCAGAAAACTGCAGTTGACAGGCAGCAGTGAGTTTTCTGAAAACCTAAAGATGTGACGGTAAGAGCCCTGATTAGATGACCAGTACATGCATTGCCATCCTTACGAGTCCCAGCCCTGCTGCTTATACCATGGCTTTTCTACATTTGGAGTGCGTAAGAGTCCTGATTAGATGTGAGAGTATTCGATAATGGAGATATAAGAGTAAGCAAACAGTTTAGACTGCCATAAAAAAGACATCACCTTGAGTCCTGATTAGATGTGAGAAACCTGTGAATGGTAGGATTAACTGAAAATTATATAGAAATGACATTGACTGAATAACCTTGGATTGACTTAATGCAAAACATGTATCCCTGCTCTTCGCTCCATCTTTTTCTGGTTCTGGCCTAAGAATTAATTTTTACTGCAAGTAGAGACTCAGGAATTACAAGTGGAAATCAAGACAGGTATATCTACATCCATAATCTGGTTAGCTTTATTTTTTCTGAAAATTATGACACGTGCTTCAACATCAGTACAGCCATAGTTCAGTAATAGTTTGGTATAATGTGTGAAATTATGAAAAACATATTACAAGTCAAGAAAATAGTTTGATATAACCAGTCAGGAACTATGAGTTGGCGTGGATAAAATGTTTATCAAGGTTTCTGTAGTCTCAGAATAATTTAAATTTCTGTCGATGGTTAGGTTAATCTCAGTATTTGTGCTAAAGTAACCGTTCTTTCCTGGATTTCATTATCTTATCAGTAAATAGGAGTACACCTTGAGTACCTGCACAGTTGACCTGATATATTTCAAGCTTCGGAATGATGGGTTAACGCATTTATTTTAAGAACATATAGATCTGAGAATGCTTGATCACAGGAAAGGCTTGCAGATCCTTCCTCAGAGAGGCAACCATGATTTCGGTGCCTGTTTAATTTTTTCATTTGACCATACACACTTGGAAAGAAAACTATGATATTATTGTGATATTATCATGTTACCTGAATGAGAGACTAGGGCAGAAACTCTGAAACATAGTGAAACTTTCAGTAGTCACTTAGTCGGTCCTGATAATTTTTTTAGTAGCTTGGCCCTGCAGTTGCAGGCACTTTACTATTCTTCTTGAGTGCTTAACATATATTGTGGTTTGGAAGATATGAGATAATTGATGCCTTGAAATGTTCCTTTGATTTAGTTATTTTTATCTCTTTAACTTATTTAGGTGTTTATTCAGTCTATTTTATAGCCATATTGGTATATAATTGATAACAAAATTTAAGCTTCCACAACTTTTGCTATTGCACTATCCTCACCAGCTTGAATCCCTGCTGAACAGCACCACCATCTTCCCTGCAGTAGCAATCGTGATCTATCGCCTGTTCAGGTAACTTGCTTGCTCACCTCCTGTTTGACAATATACCAATGTGTGTCCTGTGCTTGTGTTTTAGGCAAAGGCAGACATTAGGTTGCTTTGGAAAAAATAGTTCAATTAGTTTATGAGGAATGACAGCAATGCAACTAGATAGACCTATTGGAACAGGTAAAACATAGTGGTATAGCACTAGACTTAGCCTCAGATGCATAAAAACTATGCCTATTTTTTTTGTCGGGCTCATGGACAACGTGCGCGCAACAATACCTGCATCACAAATGAATTCAACTGCAAGGCATTCTAAAAATTCAATTTGCAAAGAAAAAATGCCACATATTCAACTGCAACGCATCATCTCTGCCACATATTCAACCACAGCATCTGTTGGGAAGGCCGCCGCCGCCACCGCCTCCCGTCAACTCCATCCACCCCAACGCATCATCTCCGCCCGCAATTTACAACCTCCACGCACTCCGACTGTATCGACGCTTTCATTTGTTAGCCTTTACATTTTGAATTGGATTTCAATACACTGCATCATTGCTCATCTTCCCTCCCCAGCTGCCGACAAACCGGTCCCGCAGATTCGAGGACGAGGCGTGGCTCGCCCTAACACCCACAGGCAACGTCGAGTCGTCGTGCTTCCTAGACGCGTGCTGGACCTCATCAACTGCAGCAAGGGCGTCGTCTCCCTGGTACTTCGCATCTCAATCTGAATCTGGGGTGGTGCTGATCGATTCTGTACATGACAAAAAAGAATGGACAAAAAAGAATGGACATAGATCAGACTTTGTTTTGCTTATAGCAGAGCAGCTGAGGCTGAATTTAGATAGCATCCAGAACAAAAGTCAATGAAATACTGACATATTTTATGAACTTGAGCACATCACTACACAGAATAGTTTCTGTTTAGATATATTCAACTTCTGCAAAGTATTCCTCCGTAAGTCCCCTTTTTTTCTTTTTTAAAAAGAAAGCATACCTTGCCTACGCACATACTTACGAAGAGATGCCATCTAACAATGGATGTGGGATAATAGACTCATAGAAATATCAAAATATAATGTGTCTACTCAAATCACCGATACAAATCTAACACAATACAAACATGGAAAAACTTTAAACTCAATTGCACAAAAGCCAGAGCACTAGGTATGTTATAGGTGCAGGGATTTGCAATTTTACATTGGCACAAGTATTCCAGATTTGTATGGGCATAAGTAATAGAGGCAGGTAGACATTATTGAAGATACACAGTACCAAATAGCCAAATAATTACCTGAGTTTAGAATTCATCAGCTTTTCCTATTTTTAATAGTTTCAATAATACATCCTTGGTTCAAGAGCCTAACCTGAAAGGCAAGTGTTCGAAACTATCCAACCATTTGTTCTCTAATTGGAAAAATTAAAAAGAAAGAAAAAAATCTTGAACATTAGCAACAGAAATGTATACCCCTTTTCTGGTTGGTGGTATATTGAACATTATAAACAGAAATGTATCCAACCATTTGTTCTCTAACTGGTGTTCTCTAATATGGGGTGGTGCTAAAAGTGACAGGTAGTGTTGATAGACACACCAAGGCCAACCTGTTATCGGGTACCTTTGGGGGACCTTACAAATACAACACATGAAGGTATATAAACTTTTATAGCCTCCCTACATGTTCTATGTTTATATGTTTTCAACTCCTGACCAAACTTTATTGAAGGGAATCATACCCAATCGGGGTTGGTGCCACTAGATAGGGATCGTAATGAGCAAAAGAGGCAGAGGGAGAGAGAACGGTATGCAACAATGTCTGATGAAAAGGGGAGTGAAAGAAACAAGAAACCCCGTCAGAGGTATAAGATGAGTAACCAAGAGAATGTTGATCTTGAAAACAATATGGCTGCCCATTCAACAGGTATGGTGGTATTGCTGAGTGTTATTTTAATTGCCATACGCGTTATAATTAATAACAATTACTATGTTTAAACTTGCAGATGCGAATACACATAATGAAACAGACGAAAATAGTGACTGGCTCCATAGGCAGTCAACCTATAGTAATGACTTACAACAATTATTAGGTTACTTATTCTGCTAATAAAAGTATTTATTGGTGCGGCGCCTGAAATTATCGTGTCGTCATAATTTGCTTATCGTATGGTTCAATTTTAATTATATGGTTATATTTGTAGACGGTACGGAACCTTTGAGTTGCATTGGTGGCGCTGATGACGTGCATGACATTGAT